TGATGCAGTAAATGTTCAATGTTGACTTGACAACATCGGGTCTACGTACGAAGACGTTCATAATGTACGTATTGAAATTATGGTATTTAAAAAGACTTGTCAACAGTTTTTAATTAAGAGATTTGTAACAGAGAGCTAATATTGTTTTTTAAACAAAGCAGTTCTATGCATGTACGTGTAGGTTTGCTTTTAGTGTAACTCCATACAAACGCAGCAGCACAGTTTTCTATTCCATAGCCATAATCGAGATAGCAATTCGCGATGCTAGAATAAAAATATCATTATGTAAGTATTGCATTTGACAAATGTTATTTCAGCGACAAAGTACCACGAAATTATATTTACAACCTGCCGGTATAATCAAAGCACAACTAAAATAATAGGTAATGTGAGAACTCTACGCTCCTAGGGACGTGTAGGCATTGATGCGAAATGTTGGGGGTTGCATTACTTTTATTATTATATTATGTCCATAGTCTTTGCCTGAGAGTATTTTTCACCTCAATATCTGCCTGGGAATATATGTCGCCAAAGTTGCTTTAATGAGAAGGGCTTCAGTAATAACAAGCGACAAAGAATCCTCGCTATTTTAGTGCCTTGCCTAATTAGAAAAGTCTTTTATATCTATATACGTAGATTGAAATAACGTTGTTTGTGAAAGAAAATTATTCTCACGCTACATTAAACGCATTACCCGTACGTTTGGTGCATTGACAATGCACGACGTTAGCTTGAATACAATTTTTCCCGCCTTGAGCACTTAGCTCCCTACATAATGGGGCAGGAAAGGAACCGAATTGGGGTAAATAAATTTACGACAGACACATCACCCACCACGTATCTGATCTAGATATAATAAACGTCAATTTCTGTTATCCCTTAGGCTAACACACGCCACGTGCTAATGGGGAAAATAGCTAAAATTCCCTATAATTTTAACACCCACTTTCAGGAGATAGTGTATCTAACATCTAGATAGTAAGCTGGGTTTACGGAAAAGATGAGTATCGAACGAAAGAAACAATAATAAATTCGAAACTAATATAACTATTATAAGTGTGCTTTCGAACTCATCCTATTCCAAGCGTGAGGAAATTTATCAATAAGTAGCTGCTCTCTAAATATTATAAGCTTTTAATGAATTCCCTGCGTCAGGCCAAGAGTATTGGTTCGAAATGGCCGTCTTATGTGATACAAATGTTACCTGAACAATGTTAAATATAAGAGATTCGGTGCCTTTTCTTTTCAACAGGAAACTATCAACTGGACACTTCTATTAAATGGAGAGCCAGATGCTAGTGCTAAATTTTTCGTTCCATATCTAAACATAGTAGTACTATATTGACATTATTTTCATTAATATCAATAATAATTATTTTCGTTAAGACATTTTGAAATTAAATGTTATTGTAAAAAATTAAGAAGATAAAAACGGACTGTTCCAAAGCAGTTTCAATAGTCTTAGAATGAACACGGTGATAACACAATGAAAAAACTGTAGTAGCGATTCAATAGCAAAGACAGTCGCTAGTTTTACGCACATCTTTAAAATAGCTTTCAAAAGTGATGAGGGATGACAGGTTCCACTCGTTAGCGCAGGCTGTCTCTTTCAACACTTGAACATAGGCGTTATGCGTCTCGCTCGCACACCACTTAGGTTCAGCGTTGTTCGTGAAGTGCCATCCAGTTTCCAGTTTTTAATAATTGTACATGGCGCGTTGTTTAAACTCGGGTGAGTGCGGCTGTGGAATTAGATTTTTTTTTCATGAATTGGGCAGTTTCTTAATTATTAAGCCTCAAATATATGGAGTATGCAAAACAGCTGTAGTTGGAAGTTCCTATAATTTTCAGACGGACGTTTTTGTTAATAAAATGTCACAACTTCATGATGTGATTTGTGTACTATGTTCATAAAACTAAACTTGTATAAGAATTAACTTTTAACTGCAATTTTATGACTATTTCATTAAGTTAAGTCAATTTACATGTAATGTTTTTCGTATCTACGTCCAGTTTCGGAAGGTCCCACTAAATATTCAAAATAAGAACTAAATTTTCGTAATAATCTATTTTATAGGCAGCCATCTTGTTTGTGTTCTGGCGAATTAATGTAGTACTTACTACACATCTAATTTGGAAGTCAAAGTCAAATAATAATTTATTCCATAGGTAGAATTTTTACACTTCAAAACGTAATTTTTAAGCTACTGCTCGTTCACTGTGCCGACTTCCCTGAGAAGAACGAGCAAAAAACTCTAGGGATTGCTCTTTTCAAATAAAGTTAAATGCCATAGAATACATTTTGAATCATATTATTTCTGTGGAATCTAGAGTCATGTTGTCTTTTCCTACATCTTTGTGTAACATTCAGGGTTGTATTCCAGAACTCTACTCAATGCTCAAGTCAGGACTTGAGTATGATTTAAAGCACTACAAACCATACTAAGTCCTTGCCATTAGGGTCGTATTTCCAGTGCTTGAAATCATACTCAAGTCCTGACTTGAGCATTGAGTAGAGTTCTGGAATACGACACGTAGTCTACAATTTTGTAGACTACGTGTTTAGTATGACTTGTCAATTAAAATACTTTTGATTAAAGTTTTAAATTTAGGAAATGGTAGTCTTAATATATGCTCCGGAATCGTATTGTAAAAACTTCAAATTACAAAACAATAGGCAGGTGGAGCACACGCAACAAACGCTGTGAAGCCGCTTTTCATTTCTTGAGAGCATGGCGACTAGGAAGGGCACTTATAGGGACTTGCGCATTTGTGTGCGTGTAAGATTGCCAGGTGCCGCGGAAAACACCCGCAATTTTTTCTGTTGCCTTCTAAAATACTAATGTTACAAACTGGAAATGTTATTTTGCAATGTAGATACTTAAGTGGTATTAGGATATCAAACAATTTATATGCAATATATGTTAATATCTAATTGTTATTATTTGATTTACATCAGACAAAGGAAAAAATATTAAAATATTTTAAAATTGAAAAACTTTGATTATTCAAAATATTTATTCACAGTTACATAATATCCTAATAACCTTTATTTTGTACATATTTTTTATAATACTACTGCTTTGCGTCTAAATCACATAGTGGTACCATAAGTTTGTAGTTACTTCTAAGGTTCATATTATGGATATCTTCTTTCTTAACGAAATTATGTATATTTTTACCGGCAAAAATATTTGAGTAAATGAACTTGATGCCACAGTCATGATACCATCTTGTCCCACCAATTACGTTTGATGGTGTGAACTTACCTGTCAGTAACTGTGCTAAGAATTCAAAAGTGCTCATTGACAAAAATCTCAGCTGGAGTCCACAAATACCGGAAGTAAGTCGAAAAACTTTTGCGTCGGCGGCATCCTTAGGGAGACTTCAAAATTTTTCTTTCTTTTGTAAAATTGCTCAAGAACAATCTCTTCTATTACCTATATTAGACTATGCCGATATCAGCCACTTCATCTCTCTGAAGAGCAACTGAATAAACTTAAGCGAGATCAAAATTTTAGTATTAGATTCATATGTATTTGGTTTACGCAAATACGGCACAAGAAGATATGGACAAAAGTTACTTTTCCTATGTAAGAAAACGAACATTAAAGTTTGAATATTATAGAAACAAAACACATGTGTATGTTATTATTATATTTATCTTGTTACAGCGAAACTCTACTATGTCTTACTGTTATATATAACTCTAATGACGGTTATATTTTCTTACCTATGACTGCAGCCAAGCAGTACCTAATGTCAGCATTACTGTGTTCCGGCTTTGAAGGGTAAAAGTGCTGGTGAAAATACAATCACATGAGACTAGTCAACTTACGTCTCAGGGTGATGGGCGCAGTGGCAGTGCTCCTCAAATCTTTGTGATTTAAAGCTCTGAGTGGCACTGCAACTGTTATGGATAGGCGTGTAGCTTACCATCAGAGTCACGACTTGTTCGGCTCGTCACTTAATATTATAAAAGAAAATTGAAGCAGACATTGTACTTACAAAACTTAGTCGTACAATGGGCGACAAAATGGTCTCAGCGGTCAAAATAATGAAAATAACTTTCTACCCAAAGATGTCTGTTTCTTTTATCTACACGTTCGGATTGCTCAAAATACACTATTAAAAAAAATCCTTATGTATTGTATAAATACATTAAGTGACAATCGTTAGATTTGTAGTGATAACCTTGTCGACGTAACTGTGCTTAATCTGCAAAGCCATCTACATTACAGATAGATATATTGTTCTTCCAAACTTAATGCATGTTATTTTGTTACGATGACATCTTATTAGTATTCCACGTAACCGTCGTGACAGTTCGTGAGACCTTTGTAGCAACTACTAAGTTAGTTATTTATGACGTGACGAGTAGTTATGCACACACCACGCCGTCCCATGGGAGAAATACCTCTAGGCTCCGTTTATTAACAGTGCCCTAAATGAAATGTGCCTGCTACCGAATACATATATATACACACACACACACATGTACATATATGCATTGGAATTTTATGACTTTGGTGGATATTCACAACGACTTTTTATTCTTCTCCCGATATTTCACTCTACATGATGACAAGTAGCGGATTGACTGCCGTATTTAGTTGAACTTTTCACTCAACGTCGACAGCGCAACTGTTCTAAATTTACTAGAAGAAGAAAAAATTGTTGCATACAAACAAAGAAATAGAAAGTCAGTTTTTATAGAAAACTACTCAACAAAACTGTAGTCCAAACGTTGGATAGTGGGAAAAATATTAGTAAATGGTCGCCAAACTTCATGTATACGGACTTATAAAGTACTGCGTGTATTAACGAAGCTCTGGTGATAAGCAATGTGACTTGTTCCGATTTTATAAGCAAATCTATTCTTAAAAAAAAGTATCAACAATTACTTAAACTACGCCTTACATGTTCTTATTCACTTACAAGAATTATATGTTGTTTAAGAGACAACAAAAAGTTAAATTAATATTACCTATTTGTTGCAGATAAAGAACAACTATGGGTACTGCAAAAACATGTCTTCTCTTCTTCACCATCCAATTGATTTATATTATATCTGCGCAAGAGATGAAACGTATCCCTGACGGATTTGTGGGAACGCGCGGGAAGAAGTCCATTTCATCTATGTCTTCAGATACAGACCACTACTATAAGCGAAAGCCTCAGTTCTTCGTCGGCGTTAGGGGAAAAAAAAATTTGGTCGACGCCCTCGCCGATGAACATTTCAAACGAGCTCCAATGGGATTTGTAGGTATGCGCGGGAAAAAGGAATTTATATCTCCTGGTTTCCAATATTCAGGCTCTGGTTTCATTCCGAAACTGGACGGCTCTCTGATTGGGAAGATTGACTACTCAGCCAATGGAGATTTGAGAGACGACAATGCGTATTCCGTAAACAATTTTATTGCGGAGTATCTTCAGAATCTGGAGAAAGAGAATATGCTGGAAAATGACCTAAAATTTGATGAAATGACAAATTCCCAGCCTTTGTCACATGAATCAGCTGCAACTGATGTCGATAAGCGAGCTGCCAACATCCACCAGTTTTACGGCGTTCGTGGGAAAAAGTCCATTCAGAACAAACGACCTTACGACCTAACCTTTCGTGGCAAATTCATTGGCGTGAGGGGTAAAAAGGTCATTAAAGACGATTATAGTGCGGAGGCGACTAAGTTTTTGCTCGACCAGGAGGGACCGTGGCCTAAAAGGAAGACCCAAATGGGATTTTTTGGAATGCGTGGCAAGAAATGGACTGATGGTGAGCTTTAAAATTAATTATAATTTTAATGAACTAAGAAAATGATTTATATTGTTTATGACTTACACTAACTACTTTTCTCAGCAGATTCTTCAGTCGTTCGCATGCCATCTAAAAAGATTGTTATTATTTGAGAATTCATTCATTAGCCAATGTTTATAAAATACATACCTACATAAATTTGCGATAATGATGTATTATAATTAAAGTTATTTCTCCTCACAGAGTCCAGCCCGGAAACCGCAATGGAGGTATATTACTAAGCGACCTCATTTCTCCGTGTCATCTAAAAAATATTTCTATGATAAAGACTTCTTTGAAAAATTATTAGCATTTCTTTGTAAGGAAAAACCGCATTTTCTTACTAAGATTAAGGAGAGGCTTATTCTAGCGTTATTTAAGAATTTACAGCAAAACTATAAAACTTCGCCGAGATAGTAGGTACATACTAAAACACTTTAATGTAATTAAGATAAGTAATTGAATGAGAAGAAAAGAATTGCTTTTATAACTTTTTATCCGTTTAGAAGGTTATATAATTCTGTTGTACGTACATTTATTAGTCAGTCGTTCATAAAAACAAGCTTTTAACTTTTAATTTTAATTTATTTTTTAAATGTTTGTCTCATGCAGTAGTTAAGAAATAGATACTTTAGTCATATTTATTTTATTTGAAAGTACATTATTTCAGTGTTGCTTTTATTTACTTTAGTTAAATTTTTTTAGTTTATTTTTTTTACTTTTTTTCTGTTTTAGTTCTGTCTGGTATGTGTATAATTCGTTAGCGTTATCGTTAAATAACTTTATATAATAAATAATAATATTCACAATACAATATCCTATTCTCATATCCTATTGCTTTTAAACGTCTATGCATTTAATTATAATTAGTATAATAGCTTACATTTACTTTTCTGTTTTTTTTTATGAATGTATTGTTTTTTCTTATAGCTTTTAGCACATTTAAGCTCCGGCCACACAGAGACGGTACAGCGGGAAAAGCGGTCCGGGAGCGAACATGCGGGAAGCTAATACATACCAAGCCCTGCCACGCAGCAGTCCCAAACGTAGTTCGTGGCGGAATAGCGGCGCGAAGGCGGCCAATGTGACACCAAAAGCAGCCACGTTTCATTTTCTACACAGATCTTAAAGAGAGCACCACATCGCTGTCGGATAAAGAGCAAAATAATTTTCTGCTTTTAGGTTTTCGGTCAAATTACAGGCACATGGGACTTTTCAACTTATGTTTTAGGGTGATGGGTGCAGAGGCATTGCACCTCAGATCTTGGCGATTTAAAGCTCTGATTGGCACTGCAATTGTCATGGACAGGCGTGTCGCTTACACTGGGTCACTTAATATCATAAAAGAATAGAGCTACAAAACCAACGCAAAAGAAATTTCGGTCGAATTCATATTGAAACTGAATAAAAACACACACTACAGTTGTAAAAACTACAACGTCCAAACCCGCTAATGCCCCGCTCCCGGACCGCGTCCCACCGCTGCTACCGCTGTGTGTACGGTTGCGAAATAGAACTCAATGAAATAACAACTCCCGCGCCCGCACTCGTCTGGTCCGCCTATTTGTCATGATGTTCGGTGCCGGACCGCGCCTGACTCGCCGCCGGTTTCAACGTAGCAGGCTTCATAAGAACTCGAACATTACAAAAATTCCTGCGCCCGGAACGCTCCCGCCTCTGTGTGGCCAGAGCATAAAAAAGCCGTTTTAAATTACTAAAAATATTATACGAATTTATGAATTGTAGTTGTAATAATTTCTATATCTCAATGTGTAATTAAAACTATACTATGTAATTTAAACTACTATATATAGGTTTAATGTTATGCCATACTATGAATGTGTTTAAGTCACTGTTTTTAATATCATGAAACTTCATATTACTGTTCTCAATATTATGCTAGCTATTTCTTTTACATTTTGTGAAGGCTGACAAAATGTAAATCATGTATTACTAAAACTACTTATTGAATAAATGCACGCAGTTGCAAACTCTATTGTGTTGTTCATTTATTTCTTCCACTCTGCTATAATTAAGATTTTAAGCTTCAAGTTATAATTGGCATGAACTCTCTTGACTCTAAGAAATACCTATTTTTTTCCCCCTACAACGGCGACACAAAAGAGCGGAGTTTATAAGTTTCAAGCCTATGTCTGTTTGTGGCAACGTAGTTCCTGAACGGCTGGGCTGATTTTGAAGCGGTTTTTTTATTCAGGGCTAATTTAATTGGGATGAATTTTAGCTATTTTTGATGAACATGTCGACATTTTGAGGAAGAAAGGACGTAAAAACCAATTGTAACAAAGAAGTGTTAGAGTGTAGTTGGTTAAGTTTTCGTGCTCTTATATCGCAAAGTAATGTTATTCGTCAATAAATGGCTCTTTTACATAAATGTACTTCTAGATAACAAAATTAAAAAGATATGAAGTGAAACATATTATATATTTTTTGTTTTTCCATCGTCTTCTTAACTTGGTAGTACTACGACGTATCGATGTGTTCAGTTGTTTAGATATCAGGGATCTGAGCCATAAAACGAATAATAATTTGATCTCCACTGGATTACCATAATATGGTAACTTAGGTCTGATGCTGTCCACTACTTACAATAGAACTATCACGTTTGGTGATAGTTGGTTTGGTTTGGTGGCTCATATTATGGTGAGTCTGTCACTGTCTTGAAATTAGGTTTTTAAATTTAAGGATTTATTTATGGTGGTATATGTGCTCGTGACAAGCCTGTGAGAACAGGTAGTATCTTTATATATTCTCAAATAGGCTCATGAGGAGTTTCGTCGACCAAACAGATGCATAATAATGATGATCGCACAAAATACCTTCCGTTGTTTCAGGTGCTTAAATACGTAAATGTACGTCGCAACGGTTAGTTATAGTCAATGTTGGTACACAGTATGGATTATGTAGGTACATGATCGTAAAAAATATCAATAAGTTGTTACTCAATACTGTACCAGTGGTTAAAAAACGACACAGTGAATTTATAAAGCAATAATGGTAATATGCAAAAACATGATTAAAGAAACTAAACATAAACGACATGTCCGAAAGAAAACTCAAACGGCTATCAGAAGTACGAGAAGTACATAGTATGCATTAGATTTTTTTGACGTTGAAGTCGTCAAAGCAAAAGTGATTAAACACATCCTTGATTTTTGCTGTGAGGAAGGAGGGAGCAAAAAGGGTGCGTGAGACAAAAAAGGTTCAATATTTTGAATCTCTATAATTGACCTGAAATCTTAAGAGATTGCCATGCCATGTTAAGACATGGCATTCCTATGATATCAATACAAACACTTTTGAAAAACAATCAACAGCACGTTGAGCCTGCAACTGACTTTGGACCATCCCCATGTCTATTGAATTTAAAACCTTAATTGAAATCGCAGCTCGACATGGACTATTTTCGACTAACAAATCAGCAACTACTGTTCATCGAATTAAAATTTTGCTTGTGTAAATTTCTAAGTTTTATATGTGTAAAACAAAAGTGGTTTGTTTTAAGGTTGTGACTGTGTATTATCTAGAAGTTAAAGTCACGATATAATAGAAAGTTGGGACATTTTATTATATTTTTAAATTTCTCTGCTTAATAGCTTTCATATCTCTTAATTGCAGGCTTTTCAAGCTGTGTACCCTCTAAGAAAACATTATTCCAATACATCCTCGCGGTCGTTTTAAGATACGTCCTAGTTAACATAGTCAGACAATATCTATTCCTTCGTTATCTACTTTGTAATTTACTTCTTCGTTGCAGACAAAAACGATGGTTGCAATCAAAGCGTATCTTCTTTGCTTGGTCTCGATATGCATGACAACTATGCTAGTTGAATGTTCAGTTGGTCCAGAGACCAGGACCGCGCCGTTAAAATACATAGGCCCGTCGAGTGATCAATACCAAAATAACCCGCTTAGAAGAATGTTGAGGAAAGGCCCTATAATAATTGGCATTGTACCATCAGGGGCATATAATGCGCCACTTGTGGATGTACCATTTTACTATTCACCAGAGAAACCTGACTCTAGAGAACTCTACAATCCGTTTTTACGCTCGACAGTTTTCGGACGCTCACCTGCCAAGGGTATAAAAATGAAAAATAACCGACCATTAATTTTTACTAAGTCCAACTTAGTTGGTCGCAATTTGAAATGGTAAGATCCACCAGTCAAATGTAATATTATGCGACGACTCTCCAGTGTTGGTGGCATTGACGTCAATATATCAGTGTTAGCTAAAATATTCAGTAAAACCTGTGTTAAGTGCGCTAAAGGCATTTTTAATAGCGACATTCGGTTTAAGAAAATATCTAACCAGAAATCCCGACATGAAAACAATATTATGTTATGTACAATTCATATGTAATATGATAATTTAATATCTAAGCTGGAATATGTCGTGGCCACAGAGTAGTTAGACGGCGTTCTGCGTAACACAGTGTTTTATAAACCCCAAATTTGTGACATGCCCTTTTTTCAATATTCCTATAGTTTGAACTTATACACTTGTATAGAACGAGAGTAGAACGCCGATGTAACGTGGGTGTAACAAATACGTATAGTTTCAGAGAAAACATTTTTGAATTGTATAAAGTTTATCCGGATAAATATAAAAAGATAATAAAAATCAGAATTTGTAATTTTAGAAAATGATTAGCTAACCGACATAGTCATTTGACAAAACCACAGACCACATATTCTTCCATGGATAAAACCATAAATGACACACATTTTGAAGTAATCAGCAACAACCATGCAACGACATAGCTTCACTCGTTATAAAGTCATTTGATTTTTGCTTTTAATTTGTTTCCGTTTCAATTTTTTTTTACTGCAACAATCCGCTGTATTAGTTCGTGGTTTTTATGTCAATGTTGTTTTAGCTGTCTTCTAGATACTCTAAAATAATCATGACCCAATTGTGAGGAATATTTGCGCGGGCATTGATTTTTATTTTTTAGTCAGGGATGTCACTTTCAATATCAGATAATTTTACTGAAATATAAAAAAAATCAATTGGCACAAATTTGGAACAAGAGGTCATTTGAAATTCCTTCTGAAACGTACATTTGAAGGTAATGTTCAAATTCTTGACTCTGAAAACTATAACTTTTAATAACATTGACTTCAGACCTACTTAATCATATCATGTCAATATTCCAGATATCGAGTAAATCCATAATAATTAAGCATGGTAATTTAATTAAAATCTTTGTAATTGCATTTCGATTTTGATTCCCACGGTACTTATACAGCACTAGACATAGTGAATGAAACCAAACAGAAATTCTGAATGAGGGTAACTAACTACTCAACGTTAGGAGACATCAATTCCATTTTAGTCATTACTTTTACTTAAAAACTTTTATTTATTCTCTTTAAATTAATTAAATAACTCTGTTTATTCCAACAATCTTTTTAAATGTTTTAAATGAACTTATACGTCTTTAACTTAAAACCCTAATTTAAACATACAAAAAATTAAGGTATTTTTTTATTTATTTTTTTAGTGGATTAAAATATAATTTTAAGTGACACCCCTTACGTCGGAAACTCGGGGTATTTGTATTTTGACAGATGATTACAATCACGGAAGAAATTTATGTGGT